ATCATCTCACAGAATGAATGAACTGGAAGATATGTCAGGCTTCTATTAGAAGATGAAAAACGTGGAAACTTATCAATACCTCTCTTCCTCTAGACACATTGTAGGTCATAAAACCCCACTCTGTACAGTACTTATTACTCTTATAAAGGAAGCTAGAAATGTAATTATGTAAAGGATGATAACCAAAAAACTTTGCAAAATGGTTAAAACAGACATAAAAGTATGGCTGCCTGTGCGCATGGCAAAAGTGGAAGAGAGGCAGCAGGAGAACAAATGATTTCAAAGATAGATTAAAGGTGCAGTCTTACCCGTGGAAAGGGTACCTATTACCCCTTCTGTCTTGTTTTGGAGAAATAAGTGCAAAACCTGATTAAACTTGGTTGGTTTAACAAAATACTTGGTAAAGCAGCTTTAATCACTGCAGACAAAGGCCAGATAAGGTCCAATAAGCAATCAACATCTTGGTCCTACGCTAAATTACTTCCTTTGTCTCCTTACTTATTTCCTTAATCTATAGCAACTGTGTATTTATATAGCCCTCCCTCGTTTCAGCTGCAGAGCAATGATTATTTTTTATGAAGCACACAGAAACATTAAAGCTCCCAAATATGTACATACATATATATGTAGACTTAAAAATTACCTTTTCAGCAATAACATATACTGAAAGTAACACATAGAAGAGAATAGTGATCTCCAGAAGATTCAATTATCCATAACAATATCTGAATTTTAATATCAAAGGTTCTTTCTGTGAACTCTGAAGATGCCCTTTTTCTTAGGTATTTTCTCTTCTGCTCAACAGGCAGCTGAGACAACAGATTCAGGAAGACATGCCAGATCTTTACTGAATTATATTAATAATAAATTAAAGCTGCAAGGATGCTCTAGGAGTATCAGACAAAAGATTTTATGACCTCATAATTCTCATTCAAAAATTAAATAACACTTTAACTGATAGCAAAAATATTTGCAGCATCCTGAAAAAAATAATAATTAAAAAAATCCCTGCAGATTACAGAAATGAAAAATAATGTTAGATTGAGAAGCCTTGAAGAGGGCACAGAGACAAAATGATTTTAGAAAATCTATGGACTCAATTTTGGATATAAGAGATAGCTGAAAGAAAGATATGCGAACAGTAGCTTAAGAATAACTTTATTTCAATACAACTACAAAAGTTTAGTGTATTTTACCAGTCTCCATCAAGTTTCATGATACAAGACTTTCCTTTGTATACATAGTTCTCTGGAACATGAATTTGTTTTAAACTCTCTTCAGAATGAGCTTCTGTGATTTTCCATCAGTCCATCAAATAAAAATTTTCAGGCAGTGTATCAAATAAAGAGAACATAACTGCCACTTATTCAAAGACAAATACTGAGGTGGATGCAGAATATATTAAAAAAAACTATGCAAGTGCAAAACTGTATGGTCTGATGAACCTAATCTGAAAAGAACTATTTGCTAGTGGCTTGTAGGGTGACTGAGCAGGTCATTGTACTTCCTGCTATCTCCTATGGATAATCATCTTTTCTTTACAAAGCACTTTGAAACTTTCTATGTGCTCCCTATATGTATCGACATTGGAAACATTATATCACAAAATAACCTACATTATTTCCAAAAGTAACTGTGATGTTCTGTGCTAGTGAATCCATAGAATATCAGCAGTACTCATTTAATATTTTCAGTGAAAATGAACACATTTTTCTCTCTTTGTCAGTGCTACCTGGTTCTCATACATTTCATTTAAATTAAATCCAACTTTAATTATCTTCCCTGAATGTCTCATTGTATCTCTTTTAGGTAGCATATATACTAATAATGCAGAATGTCTCTCTAATTGTGCTATGAATTCAAAACTCACCTTAAATACCTTTTTTTCCTATAGTTGACTTTGCATTTAGAGAAATCAAATAATAGTTTGATTAAAAAATAAGTCTATAAAATAATGGGGCTGGGTACAGCACTCATTTATATTCCTTCAAATCCAGGAAAGCCTGTAGCTGCATATGAGGTATAAATCTAACCAAAACCTGCCTTACTCCATGCAAATCCATATGCTTTTCTAAAGACCTTTCATTATTTTTCCTTTGATTTTAAGCATAATCCACCTACCATTTTTACATAATTCTGAATTTTTAGATCTTTTGTCAACATCTGGGAAAAACAACTCTCTGTAAATGACTTTTCAAAAACAAATCCTATAGAATAAAGTTATTTTAAAAGAAAAAAAAAAAAGAGAAAAAAATCCTCTCAAGCTTAATCACTGTGATTTGTAAAGAAGATAATATATACTGTTACAATATTGGTAAATAGACTCACAACTTCTTCTGCTAAATGTGCCATTTTTAAGCATTATTTATGAATCTGAAAACACAGAAATGAAGATGGAATCATGGCTGTGCAAAAAAAAAATTTTTGCATAAAACTCAAATATTATTTTAAGAGTGTAGTTATATTTATTTAAGATTTAACCACTGATATCCAATACAGATTATTTTTGCCTTGTCAGTAACTTCTGTAATGTATTTTCTGCTTCTAAATTCTCAGAGTAAAAGAGAGATTTAAACAAGGCAACTAGCTTTACGTTTGGCTTGCATTAAGTTAAATAACCACAAAAGCAAACAGTTAATACCTGCTTAAAAGGAAGCCTGTGGTTTCCTTATTCAAAGTCTTAAGTTTTAATGTCCACCAGAAAGGCTGCTACTGCAATGAATATTTTAAGCACTTGTGTCTATTATCTGCTACTACATAGCAAGCATATCTGCAAAGCTGTGAAAGACCCTGGGCAAGTGTCAGCACTCCCTATAATTCAGCCGACCTCCCAGTATATTCGCTGCAACGAGCTAAGGGAGCTCTGCAGCGGCCTAAGGGAGGTTGTCATAGGGAAGAGAGGTGAAGAGATCACAGCAGAATTGCACCAAATCAGCAAGACGCTTTTAAAAGATGAAAGGTCAAGGCAGGCTTAGTGCTGTTGTGGTGTCATTGCATCTGTTTGTCCCTTGGTGGAGTTCTTGAGTTAGTTTCTCCCTTCCGTCAAAAGGCTTTAACTGCTGTATGTGGGGTTTTGGGTTGTTGTTTTTCCTCTCCTTTAGAATTGGCTGTCATGTTTACTGTATTTAACCTTTTCCTCATATTATTATGAATATGTTACTTTCTTTCAATGAAAGCCCACCTGGATTTTTTTTTCCTTCGGGAGCTTCTTCACTTACGTGCGCGCGTGTGTATCTATACATAGCAATACACAATAACATATATTTGTTAATGTATATAGCGGTATGTATGTTTCAATAATCGCTCTCACTTTAACCCGCGATAGGTCCCCACTGCGGCCCTAGATGTGATTTTCCAGTTAGAGCCACCGACGCTCCTAAACTGCAAAACCAAATTGTGCTGGGGCGAGAGGATAACTCCCCCCTGCGCGAGAGAGCTCACACCCGAGCGGCAGGAGCCAGGCTCCGCCAAGAAATTCAGACAAACTGGCCGTTAATTACAGCTGCATGTCTTATCGAGGACCCCTGTCTTTCCAGGCACCACCCAGCGCCGCAGCAGCCCCGCGGCTGCCTGGGGAGGCAGCGGAGCGGGGAGCTCCCGGGCTGCTCCCGCCGGATTCCCCGCGCCGCGCGCCTGGGACTGCCAGCCAGACGGAGCCTTTCCCACACGCAAGATGCCTCCTCGTTGGCGTTATCAGATGGTCCATTTAAGGACACGCGTTCTTATTTCCCCTCGGTAGATCTCCAGCATCCCGGGCTATTTTATTTATTACAGACGATTACGTTTGTGATCCCATTTCCCACTTGATCTCACCAGATCAGGAGGACAAATGCCGCGTCGTGTCTGAGCGCCATGTGGGCGTTATGAGTGCAGCTGGGGGGAGGGAGCAGTGGGGGGAGAAGGAGGGGAAGGTTGTACTGCGCAACAGATTTGTCCAAGGGAGCCAAAGCTCCCCCACCCGAAACAGCTGGGCTTGTTGCCACTGACACCGAAACAGCTGCGAGCGCAGTTGACAGCGGGAGCGAGAGCCCGTAGTGCGGGGATGGCGGCGGG